TTCAACATTTCTTTACTCTATTGTAATGTTATCATGTATTAAGATATCGCCGACGTTTCAATTGAACAGGCTAAGGAACGGATGAAGGATCATCGTAACAAGCGGTTTAATGCTCAATTTCATGCCCTGGACTGTTATAAAGTAAGTTAACATTGGATTTGCAGTTGTTTCTACCTGAGTTTAGGGATGGCAATTAGAAATATTGTATAGCACAAGGACTAAATCGAAGCCTCCCCATACTCCACTATGTATATAATATTCACCTTATTTTATCATTTCCATTCTTTCAGAATCCCATCCGGAAGGTTCTACCGCAAGGGTTCGTCGCAGATGTGATTAGTATGCAATTTTGTATGCACTACGCCTTTGAAACGGAACAATCGGCCCTTCAAATGATCCGCAACGTAGCCGAAAACCTACGGCCCGGTGGTCGGTTTATCGGCACTATCCCCAACGCCAACTGGTTGGTAAAAAAAGTGCGCTCTTCCCCTGATTTGTCCTTCGGAAATTCGATATACCGGGTTGAATTCGATAAGAAAACGGATTTTCAGCCGTTTGGCCATCGTTACCGGTTTACCTTGGAGGATGCTGTTGATGACTGTCCTGAATATCTGGTGAATTTCCATATCTTCCAGCGGTAAGTTTGTTGTGTAATGGATTAATGAATAATCACAAATAGGACATTGCGATGGTGTTGACCTACTGGATATATTAACCACATTTATTTTTTGAAAGAGGAGGGGATTTCGCCCCAGAAGCCCTTGAATTCAATCTAACGTTGGTCCTTTCCATGTTTATTTTTCTGATTTCGGCCCACCTCACTTTAGAATGGCTGAGGCCCACGGACTCCAGCTAGTATTCAAACAGACATTCCACGAATACTACCAGTCGCTAATGGGTGACCAGGAAAATGTTAATAAGCTCTATGCCATGGGGGTCGTATCAGACAATGGTACCAGCATGTCCCACGAAGAATGGGAGGCGGCGGGTAAGTCATGCGATTGAATGTTTTCTGGTTACTACTCCCGGTTTCAGTGGATTGTTCCCAGCTTAGTTAATGTCTAAAGGCATGGCTATTCTTTGGTTCTTTATTGGATTGGGGTGATGCTATAGATTAGACCCCTTCACCAAGCCCTGTGCTAACTCGTGGTTTCCCTCTTTTGACCGTAATTGACTGCATAGGACTCTACATGGTTTTCGTATTCCGAAAGAACGTTGATAAGCGTTCCCGCCACGACTAGTGAACACACGTGATTCCGTTTTGGGGGGTGGTTTCAAACTTTTTGACACAGTACCCAATTGTCTAATTAGTCATATCGATTTATCGGTTGGAGCCTGGGCGTAGTCCCCCTACCTACGGAATCATATAGTAAAGCGACCCCGTCTTTCAGACCTTTTTTTTTGCTTGCATAAAGGGACAGGCTTTCTGCATATTGATGCTGTGACCATAATTAAATGGATACACTGCATGTTCTGGTAGGTGTGGGCTAGAATACGCTTGTGGTAAGCCAGCCATGGGGCTGGGATGCCCTATATAATTCAATGGCATTGTCCGTAGCGGTCTTTTGAAAGTACCTCCAAAGCGCCCGTTGGCCCTATTTAATCCCATCCGGTGACGTGAAACAAATGTGCATGTCCTTGGGGTTTAGACTAAAGAGCAGGTAACAGGCTGCTGAGAGAGGCCATGGTGCCACTACACCTGGACAATAACAGCCCTCTGTAGCAAGGCATTTGCATACAGCTATTTATGTGATTAATTTGTCTGAGTAAGCGAGTGGTGAGGATCGCGAATATCGGGTAAGGTGAAGAGGTGAGGGTGATTAATGATTGGAAAAGGTGGAATGTCTGATTTGTATACCTCACCTTTAAGGAAGACTACGACCGTCCTCAGTAGGGCTGGGAACCAAAAGCACTGGAATAACATACCATTGGTAGCGCGGCCGGTCGAGTACAAACCCACCCATCAGCCATCATACTATGCCACCTACACAGGGCGAATTGGCCAACATCCTAGGGAGCTCTAGCGAATGATTTAATGAAATCCGCGATGGAACCGGGACAATGGGCAAGATACCTGGCCAAATTAATCAAAGCAGGGCTTTCCTCTCTATAAGGGTAGTGTGTTTATTAGGGGGAGGTACGAGTGGGAGGGGGGCACAGTGTCCCTCCCGATAAATATTTATGGCGCCAGATTTGGTGTCGTGCTAGGACAAACATGGTACCACGAATTGTACTGGTGCTCCCTGTTAAAAGCATGGAGGGACAGTAGCCAAGGTCGTGGAGGGCACCGCTGAGATGGCTTAATATTTTAGAGGGACTGCTCAGCTAACTGGCCTCTACCCTTAAACCAGGACGGAGTTTATTCAAGACTTGGTGAAAATGGGTGGCCAATGGGTACTGGTAGAGTGGCGAGCCGGTGGGGGGGGGTGTCTGAGGCTACATCCGATTTTCTCGGCCCCCCTCCCTCCACGCAGCATCCGCTTAGTTGGTGCGTATTTCGGACCGAGTGAGCGGTCGTATGACTCAGCCAAGGTCCCCTCCCCACATTAGGAGGTCACGCCAGTGGCCAGTGCATTCCCCCTTAGTAAAACAACAATGGTGGCTAGCCAACTCATTCATTGTATATTTTTCTATGCCCAACGCACTACTCCCACACCACTAATAGGTACGGCGTGGGAGGTAATAAATTTTAAAGCGGGGTATTTGTGTCCCATTTGGCTGAATGAATGGTGGCAAGTTCCTTCTTCCCTCGCCTCATCTGACCAAGGTAGGTCGGCGAGAGTGGCTGTGCTTCTTCTACCAACGGCACAACCCCGAGTCCCGAAGCACTTAAGGCCCAAGCTGTCCGCTCCTTGCAAAGGATCCGTCGTTCTTTGGCTCCTTATCCCCCCATTCCTTTATTTCCTGCTTCATTTGACTCTTCTATAGACTTTCCTTCCAACTACCTCGCCAACTCTTGGTCCGTTTCAAACCCCGTTTCCTCGAACCACCTCTCCATCCCTTTCCCCTTATTCACTATGGAAAAGCTCAGCAAGGTAAGCGCAACCCCCTAGTCTAGTTAAGCTTGTTACTTAGGCCGGCCCTTTTCCTTATCAGCGAAAGCTGGAAGGAACGGCGGGGGAAAGGGTATATTTCCTGGGCTTCTAGCCACGCACTCCATCATCCAGTCTAGCGTGGTTACTGCGCCGTATCGGTCCACAATGGAGCAGAGTCAAGTTGTCCATGAGTCTGCGGAGGACCATTGGCTTTGGCCTAATGCAGCCACTGCGTACTCGTTGGTCTGAACCTCTCCCTTGTCCGCCTAGCTCTCCCTATCCCGTTGGCCATCTGGCCGCTGTTATGCCTCACCAGCGGCCAAGCAGACTTGGCATGCCCTTCATTGGAGTTATTGAACATCTTACCCATCGTGTGCACTCCCCACCCATTCTACACAGCCTAAATAGCCGACCTTGGCATATGGGTCACAGCATCCTCTAGCCCTCTAATGCCATCGTTTGGGTATTGACACGGGTCACCCCACCCGATCGTTTAATTAATTGCTTAATTTTCTCTCCTCTGCGCTCTATACTCCATCTAGAAAATCCAATCCCTCCGTGAAGAGTGCGAGGCCGCCACCCTCCGCGCCGACACTGCCGAGGCCAGCGTCAAGGTGTTGACCGAATCCCAAATGGACCGGGACCAGGAAATCGTGTCCTTCCAGAACAAGGTCGCCCTGCTCGAGGAACAGCTCGACACCGCCGAACTTAAGCTCCGGGAGGCCAAGGTAGCTGCCGACGAGGACGAGCTGACCCGCTCGGCCCACGATGAACTGGTGCGCAAGGTCCAGGTTCTGGAAGAGACCCTTGAAACCCGTGAATTGGAACTCAAAGAAACCCGCGAACAGCTCCGTACCGTGGATGTCAAGGCCGAGCACCTCGAGCGTACCGTTCAGAAGATGGAATCCGAGCGCGATGAGAGTGATGCCCGATATGAAGAACTCAACCAGAAATACTTGGCCACCAAGGCCGAATTCGAAGCCACCATCAAGGCTCTGGACGACATGTAAATGGAGTGTTCAGCCAATTCCTGTTTACTACCACACCCACCCTACCTATCTACCCTACTCTACCCTCCTCTTCCACTTCCACACCCTTGCCTGTGGTCCCGTCTGCCCACTCGTTTCGTTGGATAATTATTCCCAAACTTCTGGTTGTTGGGGCGTGAAAAGAAATAACACAAGCTCTAGCCAATGGTAACGGGAATATTCACTTTAATAAATTAGTTTAAATGGACAAGGGCCAGTAGTATCTCTAACCAGTATTGTGTGTGAGAGGTAATGCGATGCCATTCATTACCTTATTGATTAATGTAGCTGAAGGTAAAGTTCTAGACCGCGGGATGCGGCTGGCTAAGAAGGATACAGCACATGTACAATTACCGGGATGAATTGACCCCTTACTCTTTCATGGAACTTGGGTGCACATAATACAAATGCCAACTATACTCACCAACATGTCAATTACTAACAAAAGATCGAACCACAAGATGGGGGGATCTAAAGAGCCGTTTGGGGCATCAAGCGCAATCGAGAAACACTGTCTATCCAATTACATCAAGCTTTACGCTAATGGTTTACTCTACGTTACCTTAACCGTTAATGTGGCTGGTTGATTAGAAGCACTTTTATCTAATCTTCTCTATAGCTACGCCACTTTTTTTAATACGGTCACATCTATTCAACGAGTCCCTTTCTCTACCTATTGCATCCATGGCCTGTTGCATCCCTATGCTTTTACTTTACCCCAACCCCAAATTAGATGCATAGACATACTATGCCATCGCATTGTTTCAATAATGGAATAATTGAACAGATGACTTGCCTGCTTTCGAAAGACCATTAATCATACAACACTGAGGGGAATTTCAGTTTAAATCAGGCCAATATCACCTATATTTGTGAAGGCATAAATATATCACTAATCATTTCAATAAAATAATTATTGGATTCCAGCCAAAAGAAACGCTCCTGGGTGGGCTTGAACCACCAACCTCCTGATTAACAGTCAGACGCGCTAGCCAATTGCGCCACAGAAGCTT